CCCTTCTCCCAGCTTAAGCCTCCCAGTAACAAACCAATTTCTCAGGGTTTATTGTTTTAATAGTCTGACACCCAAACTGAAGAGCAAAAGTGTCTCTTTAGAATATTCATTAGCACAGAAGGATGGTAAATACCAGGCCATCCTGGGCTATGTAGCTTGTTCTAGGACACATTGGCTTACATATCAATACAGTCTCAAATCGGGGGGGGGGGGGGGGGGGGGGGGGGGGGGGGGGGGGGGAGTCTGAATGTAGTTCTGGAGAGATGATGAATGTCAATTTTGAAAACAAAAGGTGATATATGAAAACGAAAACTCCTCTTATAGTTAAAAAAAATATATATGTGTGTGCACATCAAAAAAGAAAAAGAATATAGAACACCAAGACTTTCTTTTAAACTGCCCGAGGGCACTTCTGCCTTGAGATTCTTTGTAGTAACGGACCACAGCTTTTATTGGGTCTTTTTATATTGCCATCATGCCTGCAACTCAAAAGTGTGTTACTGATGCTACTGCTTACATAACTTGGATGTTCCCACCCTTGCAACTCGTCTGCCCTTCCTGCTCGCTTATCTGAGTCTCTCTGTCCTTGAGGTCATGCAGTTGCAAAGACAGACACAAACAGAGACAAAGAGAGGCATTTCATCCTTCAAAGACATCTGGTCCTTGACCAGAAATTAAAGGTGCTTTTCTAGAGGACACAGTTCAAGATATTTGGACAGGAGGCAGTACAGTATTAATGCTGTTATATAATCTTCTAGAAGCCCAACATCAGCTTATTTAGAGAATGAGTACTTTTTTAAAAACCACATTAAAAAAAGGTGAGTGGGTGAGGGCGTCTTTCATATTCATTGTATACAGAGAGCTAGAGCTCTAATTATGCCCTTTTATGTAACTGCAGAAGGCAGACCTGCATTGTGGGTCACTGGGAATACACTGACTCCAGGCCCACTAAGCCCTTTATTGAGAATCATAGAGGTCTGAGTTAACAGTGCGGGCCTTTTGTGACTCGGAGAAATTAGACTGAGGAAGGGTTGTTCGTACCTGTAATTTGAGCAGCTAAAGGAAACTGTCTCCTGGGGTGGGGGTGGGTGGCTGGGCGCTTAATTGCGTTGTGGCTGAATTTAGAGCCAGATTTACTGACATTGTCAAAAGTAATTTAAGTCTGTTGTCACAGAGAAAAACTTACAATGGTTAATTCGCCCATCAGCTTTGTCATGTTTCAAATTTCCCAAGGTAGGGTGAGTTCAGCCAGGTTTCTCTGCGCTCAGCTCTTTCTCAGTTTCAGGTTGTTGTTCTTGCTTTGCTTTGCTTCATTTTTTTGGTTGTTGTTTTGTTTTTTAAAGACTGGATCCTACTGTATTGCCCAGAATGGCTCTGAATTCCTGGGCTCAAGCATCCTTATTCCTCATCCTCCTTATTAGCTGGGACTGCAGGTGCATGCTGGGACTGCAGGTGCATGCTGCTGCTCCCAGCGTCAGTGAGGAAAGAGAGTAGTATGGAGATGGAGGCTGAGTGGCATCAAAATTAGCATATGAGGAGCTGGAGAAATGACTTAATGCTTACGAGTACTTACTTTTCTTGTGGAGGACACAAGTTCAGTTCACAGTGTCCACCTCAGGAGGTTCATAACTGCTTGTAACTCTAGCTCCAGGGGATCTGATTCTCTCTCCTGGCCTTCATGGGGGCCCCCACACAGGTGCCCATAAAAATAAATGATTTTTAGAAAGATTAGTTTATGAAAGAAACCATTGCAAAGGGAGACTGGACCTTTTCCACCCCCACTGGCTACACGAAACAAAACAGAGCATTTGCAGAAAAAATGAGGATGTAAATGATTCTTTGAAAGGTCACAGGTTCTAGGCAAGGGCCATTGAGCCTTTGACCTTTCTCTAGAGCTGGCCTCTTTCCAATATGAAAAGTGCTTTTCGCCTTTAATAAACTGTCTCTGTTTCTACCACTGTCTCACATGTCCCTGGACCAGCCTCCACCTTTAGGCCAGATCCCACAGCCTGAATCAGGCCACATCTCCCTGCTTCTCTCTCTAGGACAGAGAGTTAGAAGCTGTCTGTGCTGTGACTTGATAGCTCTCAGTTTATGGTACCTGTCTCCTCCATGCTTCCTGTCACATATGCTATGGTGAACTAAACCAAGCGATGTGAAATTCTTGCTACTCTTAAAAGACTATACAAGACAGACCTTTCCTTTGTTCTGGGGATTGGTTCAAACTCACCATCAGAACCACTGGGTGTTCTGTAGGCTGCTTTCTGAAGCAGCTCCACTATTCCACCCCTTATTTCTCTCATGGTGGTACACTCCCCGCCAGCCTCCACCCTCTGCTGACTTCTCTCTAGGCTTCAAAGGGAAGCCTCTTATTCCCTTTAAGGCTCCACCAAGTTTGGACTTCCCCATATTATATTGAATTGTTTCTAATGCTCTTCCTCCCACCTTGAGATGTGCTCATGGCCTTGAGAGCCTTTCATTATAATAAACTTCATTCTTGAAGGGAATTGATGTCTTAGCTTTCCTTTGCAGATTGACCATGGAGGCTTTTTCTTTTCTTTCTTTTTAACAAGAATCTGAAAATCCCATCAGGTGCCCTCTGGAGAGCGTAAGTCAGTTTTCTCTAAGAGTGTAGCCCCTGGCATGTTGACCATGTTCCAGTGGAAGGCCACACATCCAAGACTGGATGGGCAGTACAAACTGGACTGGATGGGTTAAAAACAAAAAAAGAAAAGAAGACATGAAGTTGAGCAGGTGGGGAGGGGTGGTGGATCTGGGAGGAGTTGGGGAAGGGCAATATATAAGATTGAAAAAATGTACAAAATTCTCAAAGAACTAATATAAATAAATAAGTAAAATTAAAAATGGGAACTGGCGAGATGACTTAGTACTTTCCTTTAAGCCTAATCACCTGAGGTCTACATGAAGGAAGGACAGAACTGACTCCTGCAAGTTGTTCTCTGACCTCCATGCAGGGGCTATGACACACATGCCCCTTCAAAACAAACAAACTAACAAATATAAAATAAAATGGTTAGGTATTATGGCACCTACCCTCAAACCAGCACTCTAGAGACTAAAGGAGGACAATCATGTGAGTTTGAGGCCAGCCTGGGCTACATAGCAAGACTCTTGTCATATATATATAAAATAGAATATAAGAAATATAATAAGGGGTTGGGGATTTAGCTCAGTGGTAGAGCGTTGCCTAGCAAGCGCAAGGCCCTGGGTTCGGTCCTCAGCTGGGGGGGGGGAGGGGGAGAGGGAGAGAAACATCATAAAATGTATAGTGGCAGTTTGAATGAGAGTGGCTCTCATAAGCTTATATATTTAATCTCTTAGTCCCTAGTTGGTGGAACTGTTTGGGAAGCATTGGGAGGATGACCTTGTTGGAGGAGGTGTGTCACTATGTGCAGGCTTTGAAATTACAAAAGTCCACACAATTTCCAGTTAGCTCTCTCTCAAGGTTGTTGTCTCAACATGTAAGCTCTCAGCTACTGCTCCAGCACCATGCCTTCCTGCTGCCATGATGGTCATGGACTCATCCTCTGAAAGTATAAACTCTCAGTAAACTCAGTTGTTTTGGTCATGATGTATTTCCACAGCAATAAAAAAGTAACTAAGACACACATATAAAAAACAATGGAGTAATGGGCTGGAGAGATGGCTCAGAAGTTAAGAGCTCTCTGTGGCTGCTCTTCCAGAGGTCCTGAGTTCAATTTCCAGCACCCACATGGTGGCTCACAACCATCTATAATGAGACCTGGTGCCCTCTTCTGATGTGCAGGCATACATGCAGGCCAAACACGGTATATATAATAAATAAATAATTTAAAAAATGGAGTACTACTTTGAGGAATAATAAAACAAAACAAAAACAAAAAACCACTTTACTGCTGTAACAATCCTGGTAGCAGATGAGACACTTGTGCCTCTTTATTGTATCAGATTACTGAAACACTGGACCCCAAGGAATCTCGTGATTGGAAAAGGACCTTGTCTTTCCAGAAGAGATTTCAGACAGTTCTGACAACTCTTCAGATCACCTTGCGTGAAAGCAGAGAAGATGATATATTAGTGATGGGCAGGACCACCCCTTGACCAGGACTGCTTAGTTATGCATACATCTCATGCTCTATTTAAGTGTTAGCCCATGTCAAGACCCCAAAGATAAACAGGGGTGTCATTGATGCCTGAATTTGTTCCTTTTGAATAAATCTCCCTTTCTTGCTTTTCACCTCAATTGGCCTGTTGAGAACAGGTGGGCAAGTCCAGCTTGTTGGGGCTAACGGCGCAGGCTTTGACCTTAGAAACTATAGCAATATCAACAGACTTTTCATTAAGATTCTTCATGAAACCTAGCTCCACCTAGCTTATGTCAGAACAGAAGCTATCATTAAGGATATAAGGAGTGGGACTGGAGAGATGGTTCAGCAGATAAGAGCACTGGCTGCTCCTGCAGAAGATCTAGGTTCAATTCCCAGCACCCACATGGCAGTTCACAAACATTCATAGTTACTGTCCTAGGGGATCTGAGGACCTCTTCTGGCATCCTTGGGCACAACACACACATGCAGGCAAAACACCCAGTTTTTTTTTCCAGTGCTGCGCCTTGCTGCAGCTGTGGCTGGGCTTCCTCAGCCTGGGGGTCCTCTAGGGCAGCCCACGATTGTCTTCCTGGGGCCATATGTGATTCTCAGGCTTTCATGCCTTTAATTCCAACAATCGGGAGGCAGAGGAAGGTCGATCTCGGAGTTTGAGGCCAGCCTGGTCTACAAAGCGAGTTCCAGGATAGCCAGGTCTACACAGAGAGACTCTGTCTCAAACAAACAAAACCAAAGCAAAGCAAAGCGGGAATTCCATCCACGTTGGGGCCTGCGTGTTTGCGCATGCTCCAACCGTCCGGCCCGCCATTTCCTTGAGGACGCTTGAGCAACGGCTGTGGACTCCCGCAGTGGTGCCAGGTTCGCTCCGCCTCAGTGCTCCTCTTCTGACCCGCGATGTCTCGCCTGATGCTGCTCTGCCCTTCCCTCCTCCGCCACCACACCGTCCTGTTCTTGAAGCTTGGCGGTCGCCTCACCCACTCAGAACGGCCACGCCACCGCGAACTGTCGCCCACGGTGAGGTAGAGCCGGCCTGACGGCTCCTGGGGGTGGGGAGGAGGGAGCAGTGTGTGTGTGTGTGTGTGTGTGTGTGTGTGTGTGTGCGCGCGCGCGTGTGTGTGTGCGTGTGTGTGTGTGTGTGTGTCTTCATGGGCGGGGAGGAGAGAGCAGATGCCCTCAGGATGTGTGTGTGTGTGTGTGTGTGTGTGTGTGTGTGTGTGTGTGTGTGTGTGTTCGCGCGCACGCTTGAGTTTGTTGCTTTAGTTGTGGGATCATTTTGGAGGTGGGCCCAGGGCGAGGGGAAGGCCTGAGGAGGACCTAGCCTTGCTTCATGGGCATGGAGGCTTAGGGGCCTTGGTTCACTCCAGGGTAAATGACCTGCCTCATTGCCAAGCCGTAGCATTTTCTCTAAAATGGTGGAGATACTGGACAGCTTCGAGTTTCCTAAACCCAGACGTCAGACGTTGGCAACTATTGAAAGAAAACTGAGTTTTCTGAAAATTCAGTTGGTTTCATTATGAATGGAATACCAATGTTTTCAGTGTTGCCAGGACCCTGTTTTTAAGTCTCGTGAATTCACAGAACATTTTAAAAACAGATTTGTGTGTGTGTGTGTGTGTCTGTCTGTCTGTCTGTGTCTCGTATGCATGTGAGTGCAGGTATCTGAAGAGGCCAGAGGTGTTGGATCTGGAGCTAGACCTGCCTGATGTGGGTGCTGGGAACCAAATTTAGGTTCTCTGCAAGAGCAGTAGGTCTTAACAGATCAGCCATCTCTCCAGCCTTTGAGAAAGAAGATCTTTAGCTATGCGTGTGAGAGGAGGGGGAAACACACCCAGAGTTTTGTGCTTGAAAGCCTGCAAAGCTGGTGCTTCATTGCTAAACTCCATGCAGCTCTCCCAGTGAGCCGTTTTGTTAGTCACTGGTTGAGGAAGCCATCCTCATTAATACTACTTTCCTTCTTTTTCAGGAATCGGCGGTTGGAATTGTGGTGTTTTTTACGACTTTTTTCATCCCAGCTGCATATGTGCTAACCAATCTGAACTACTTCAGAAGAGAGTAGATGCCAGTTGCCGTCTGAGCAGCACCTCAGTTCCAAAATGCTTTCAGTAAAAGCCATGGCCTCTCTACATGAGAAAAACGGCTTAGTTGAACCTGTTGTGAATATTCAGTTTTATAACTGTATGTCTGTGGTGTTCTGCACTTTTTTTTCCCAACTGTGCATTATATGGATGGCAAAAAAAATCTGCTTAAGTGTTAAGTAAAATGGAAACACTTATTTGTGCCTAGTATTATTTTCCTTTGTACTTTTTTGGGGGCTTAAGATGCCAGGGATCCAACCCAGGGTCTCAAGTGTGAGGGCCACTCTACCACTGAGCTACACCCCAATATCATGAAAGCTGTTAACAATTTACTAATGAAAAAATACAATGAGAAAAAAATGAATGAGACTTACGAAGGGTGGCACTTGGTGATTCTGAGTGACAGCAAGCATTTGATGGATGCGAACACCTGGATCTAGTAACATCAACTGTGAGAGATTAAACATGCTTTAAGGTATTGTACATTTAGCTAAATGTTTTTCATGGTTTGCCAGCCCCATTTTTACTGTGAGAAATACGACTTTTTTTGTGTGTGGCCTAGGAATGGAACCCAAGGCCTCTCACCATGGGAGATTTGTGCTCTTGTTAATCCCACCAGTTGAGAGTAACACCACTACCACAATCTTAAGCCAAATTTGAAGCAAACTTTAATTAAATACTGGCCAGGTTGATGGACTCTCTGGCCAAGTCCATCTCTGTGTTCCCAGAAAATGGACACAAATCACAGTTTGCAGGGGCTTAAAAAGGCAAGCCCCAAGATTTATCACATTTCCCATCAATTCCAATCAGGGGCAAGCATACACCCTGACATATTTCCTGCCTCCGTACCTCCTTCCTACATCCAATCGGGCAAGTGTACATCCTGACGTAAATCCTGCCGGTGAACGTCCTGCCCACATATGATCAAGCATTCCCAGTGCAAATGAGTCAAACAAACATAGGACAAACAGAAACTTATTCTTAGCTGCAAACAACCCTACACCTGCAAGGTCTATTTTTCCTGCTTTGTTCTTACACTCTAGCTGTGAGTTTCAGTTATCTTTTCAAGCTTTGTTTACTCCAGGCACATAGTCACTCTCCTAATTTCTGATTTTGTTGTTCTTAATCAGCTTTCAAGTTTGGCACATTATATGTATACACAGCTGTATTCATTATTTTTACTGTTGCTATGACCAAATCCCAACAGAAGCAGAGTAAAGAGAGGACGACTTATTTTGGCTCATGGCTTTATCTCTCTTGCTTGGGGCATAGTGTGGCAAAGCAGAACATTTCACAATCACGGTGGCCAAGAAATAGAGAAGAGAGTGCTGCAGAAAGGGGGTAGGGTAGGGGAGTATAACCTCAAGGATACACGCAGACCCGGTGAGTACTTCCTTCAGCTAGGCTCCAACTTCCTATTCTTTATCTCCCCAGAGTTCTGTCTCTTTTTTTTTTTTTTTTTTTTTTTTTTGGTTTTCAAGACAGGATTTCTCTGTATAGCCCTGGCTGTCCTGGAACTCGCTCTGTAGATCAAGTTGGCATCAAACTCAGAGATCTGCCTGCCTCTGCCTCTCAAGTGCTGAGACTAAAGGTGTGTGCCACCACCACCCTCTGCCAGTGATTTCCAAATACTATGAATCCATCAACCATTGATTAGATTGGAGCCTTCAATATCCAATCCCTTCACAAAACCCCATCAGCTAGCTACTAAGCCCCTAAAACATGAGGCTGTTGAGGGGGGACATTTCATATTGAAACTGTCAATATCTTTTTTAAAAAGTTATTTATGTATATGTGCCATAATGCAGAGCTCAGAGGGCAACTTCCAGGAGTCAGTTTTCTTGCCCTACGTGGGTCCTGGGGAGTTGCACGCAGGTTGTCAGCCTTGGCAGCAAGCGCCTTTAGTCACCGAGCCTCTCCCCAGCCCACCCACCTTGGGAGTTTTAGTATACTGTGTAGTTATGGTGCACCCCTCAACTCTGAGCCTCAATTTCCTTGTCTCTGTAATAGGGGCTCAGAATTACTTTTTTGAAGGGATTTTGTGGGGATTAATTAACTTGGTGAACAAGGAAAAAATAGTTTTCAGCGTAGTGCTTGAAAGTAAATAAATACAGGTTCTTGTTAGATGTGTTTGCTAATGTTCATTTCATGCATACTGTATTCCTGTGACATACTAGGTATTATCTAGAGCAATAGACCAACACATAGGTCAAGGCACTTTGTGGCCCTAAAGACCTTAGAAGATTTGCATTCGGTCACCCTAGTATTTCTATTTCAACATTTTTATTGGGAGCCGGGTGTGGTGGTGCACAGCTGTAATTCTAGCACTAAGGAGGATGAGACAGGAGGATCATAAACTTGAAGCCAACCTGGCTACAAAGTGAGACCTCCTTTCCTCAGTCTCCAAAAGCAGCAAGAACAGTGTGGTGATTTTGTTAGGGTTTTCCAGAGGAACATCCAATAGAGTGTGTGTGCTCACACAGGTACATGTGTGTATGTGTGTGATTATTTGTGTGTACATAGGAACTGGTTTGAAGATTTACTGTGTGTAGTTATGGTAAATTCAGAATTTGCAGGGTAGTGCAGGCTGAAGGCAGAGTATAAAGTTGTAGTTAAGTTTGAAGATAATTTGCTCTTTGAGGAAGACTTCTCTCTGAAGGTCTTTAGGGGCATTTATTTGTTAGGTTTTTGTTTGTGGTGAACACAGGGCCTTGTACGCACTAAGCAAGTACTTTGCTGCATTCCACACCTCAGCCTTTTTTTTTTTTGAGGATGTGTCTCTCTCTATAGCCCTGGCTGCTCCAAAGCTCACTAAGGAGACAAGGCTGTTCTGGAACTCACAGAGATTCGCCTGCCCCTGCTCTCAAGTGTTGGGATTAAAGGTGTGTGCCACCATGCCCAGCCTCAGTCTTTTGAAAAAGCCTTTGGATCACTGGATGAAGCCAGCCACATGTGTTTTACAGAAAGTCTGTGAATTTAAATAGTAATCCCTTCCAGCTCTCACACAGACATCTAGAATAGTGTTTGGCTGAATAGCTGGGTATCACAGCTTATCCAGGTTGACAGAAAATTAACCATCACAGTTGGGTAAAACAAATTATGAGTTAATTAAAATCTTACCCATTCACTAAGATAAGCTTTGGGAAAACCTCTCTTACGACATTTAGAAATAAAGCAATCTGTGACAGTTATATTGATCCAACATTTTTTCCCCTGATAACCTTTACCAATGAAGGAAAATGGAAATAATTTTAGGAATTATAAATTCAGGCTTTAGGCAAGGACTTGGAAGTCATGTGTAATATATTTAATTTGTAAGTGTGCTTAACAGGGTTTTTGAGACAGTTTCTTTATGTAGCCCTGGCTGTCCTGGAGCTCACTATGTTGAGCAGGCTGGCCTCAAATCCAGAGATCCATCCTGACTCTGCTTCCCAAGTGCTGGGATTAAAGGCATGCACCATTACCACCTGGAGAATACAATATTTTTAAAAGCAATGTATATGGTATATTGTGGTAAATGTTTTATGAGAAATATTGAAATATTTCTTTTCAGTAGGATTATAATTGTGCTCTTTTACTTTGTTAGGGGGTGGGCACAGGTTCTCATTATGTAGCTTAGACTGGCCTTGAACTCAACAGTTCTCTTTTCTTAGACTCCTGCATGCTGGGATTCCAGGTATGTCTGTCCCATCATGCCTTGCCAAATTATTTTCAATATAGGAAAAATGTTATTTTGTATGTCTTGTTTTTCTGAGACAGGGTCTGTGGCAGTTTGAGTGAGTTGTTTCCCCAGGATTTGGGACTTTTGAATACTTTGTTACTGTTTTTTTTTTGAGACAGGATCTCACTATATAACCTTGGCTGTGTTGGACCTATGTAGACCAGGCTAGCCTAGAACTCATAGAGATCCTCCTGCCTCTGTCTCCAACGTGCTGAGATTAAAGACGTGCACCACCGTGCTCAGCTATAAAATGTTATTTTCAAGGTTGTGTTTATTTTTAAAGTTTCAGTGCTACGGAACAGCACTGAATAATGGGTAACTTGTTTAATTCTGCAAGTTTGTTTCCTTTACTATAGATTAACATATTGTCCTAGATCCATGAATTTTAGTTTTTGCTTTATTGGAAACAATACATCATCATTTAGAAATTTCGTTCCTTGCTATTTATGGGGAATTTTTGTTTTTTAAAATTTATCATTATTGTGTGTATATGATGTATGTGTGAGTGCACATATCCCACTGTGTGTGTGTGTGTGTGTGTGTGTGCATATGTGTAAGTCAGGGAACATTTCTTGGAGTTGTTCTCCTTCTACCATGGGTTTCCTGGATCGAACTCAGGTCATGTTTGGCCAGCTCTCTTACCTGCTGAGCCATCTCACTAATCCCTACTTTGCCTTTTTATCTTTGTATTTTTTTGTTCTTCACAAAGCAAAAACTAATCAGTCTGCTAGTCCCTTGATTTTGATAGAGATAAGTTCTGCAGAGTGAAGTCACAGAACCACACTATAGTGGCTTTGCTTATTTGTTTGTTTTGTTTTTGTTTTTTATAAGCTATTAATGTTATTAGAAACACATACCCTACTTAGAATCCCTCCAGGCTTGAAATTCCTTGTATTTAGTTCTGTTTTTTTTTTTTTTTTTTTTTTTTTTTACAGGACAGGATTTCTCTGTGTAGTTTTGGTGCCTGTCCTGGATCTTGCTCTATAAACCAGGCTGGCCTCGAACTCACGAAGATCCGCCTGGCTCTGCCTCCCGAGTTCTGAGATTAAAGGTGTGCTCCACCACCGCCCGGCGTTTCTGTCATTTTTTTTTCCCCACAGTGATCTGTGTAAAAACCTTATGTTTTATTAGTCTATATTTCTTCTGCTATAGTGAAATACCTGGGGCTGCATAACTCAAAAGAATTTGTAGACAGAAGTTTCTCCAGTCCTGCCCAGCCCTGTGGTCAGGATGAATCTCTCTCACTTGCAGTCCTGAAGC